AATAAAAATAAACCCTCTGGTTTGCAGAGTTGCTAAAACAGTTAGAAAGTGAAGTCTTATCCCTTCCTGTTCATCCAACAAATACTTCATATGGCCCTTCAATAATCACACTGGGGATGGGTGTTTGTTTTGGTTAATCCTCAGTGAGGACATTTTTGCATTGATTGTTTTTTTTGTTTTTGTTTTTTTTTTTACAGAGAGTAGAAGGGAGGGAGAAAGACAGAAACTAATGTGAGAAACATTAGTTGGTTGCCTCTTGCTGAATCCCCGACCAGGGCCCTGGATTGAGCCTGCAACCCAGGTATGTGCCCTTGATCAGAATCCAACCCTTCAGTCTGCCTGCAGAAGCACTATCCACTGAACCAAACCAGTGTTTTTCTTCTTTCTAAGTCCTCCTCTAAGGGTATGTTTTTCTCATTGATTCTAGAGAGAAAGGAAGAGAGAAAGAAAGAGAAAGAGAAAGATCGATCAGTTGCCCAAGTAATCCCACAGGTATGGAACCCAGAACCTGTGTATGTGCCCACATTTGGTATCAAACCCATGACCCTTTGGTGTGTGGGAGGACACTCTAACTACTGATCCACACTGACCAGGGCCTGGAGGTACATTTAAAAAATTTTTTTTCAGATCTGCCCTGGCCAGGTGTCTCAATAGTTTGGAGTCTCAAACTGTACACCAAAGGATTTCATGTTGGATTCTAGGTTAGGGCACATACTTAGGTTTCGGTTAAATCCCGGTGGGTCAGCACGTGCAGAGGCAGGCTACCGGTATTTCTCTGTCACATGAATGTTTCTCTCTCTAAAAATCAATTTTAAAAACATCCTCAGGTGAGAATTAAAAAATATATTTATATATACATATTAAAAAATTTTTAGATCTAAAATTTTATTTGGTTCTTTTTTAAATTTTCTTTTTCTTTTTTTTTAAAATATATTTTATTGATTTTTTACAGAGAGGAAGAGAGAGAGATAGAGTTAGAAACATCAATGAGAGAGAAACATCGATCAGCTGCCTCCTGCACATCTCCCACTGGGGATATGCCCGCAACCCAGGTACATGCCCTTGACCGGAATCAAACCTGGGACCTTTCAGTCTGCAGGCCGACGCTCTATCCACTGAGCCAAACCAGTTTCGGCTAAATTTTATTTTTCATTTACAGTTCATACTCTATATCCTATCCTATATAATAAAACCCTAATATGCAAATCAACGAACGGTGGAATGACTGGTCGCTATGAACTGACCACCAGGGGGCAGATGCTCAACATAGAAGCTGCCCCCTGGTGGTCAGTGCGCTCCCACAGGGGGAGCACCACTCAGCTAGAAGCTGGGCTCATGGCTGGCGAGCACAGCGGCAGGGGCGGGAGCCTCTGTGGCAGCACTAAGGAGCAGCAAGCTGAGTGGTAGGGAGCAGCAAGCAGGCAGGTGGTACAGAGCGAGGGGTCCCAGACTGCAAGAGGGCACAGACCGGGCTGAGAGACCCCTCCCCACCCTCAAGTTCATGAATTTCGTGCACCAGGCCTCTAGTATAATAAATATTATTGTATTAACTATGTATGGTATCAGATGGGTACCAGATTTATCGGGGGTGATCACTTTGCAAGTTATATAAATGTCTAATCATGAGATTGCATACCTGAAACTAATATAGTATTGTATGTCAACTGTAATTTAAAAATAAAAAAGTAAAATATAAAGCATACAATTTTCAAGTCAAAAAAATTCATAACATCTCTTAGAGCACAGAGATGTCATATATAAGTACATTTACATTGGATTTATATGAAGAATAAAATGCTAATATTTATTATGTTTATCATTTTATAATTCATGACAAAATCAATTTATAATAAATCTTTTTGAGTCTAAATGTTTTCCCAGTGTTCTGAAGGTCACCAATACCAAATTATGAAAACTACAACTCCAAGATAAATAAGTGAGTATTTTGATAAAATGATTTCCTTGATTTAGTAAAAAAAACCAAAAACCAAATACATATGAAAGAATACATCAGAGCCCTGGCTAAGTGACTCAGTTGGCTGGAGTGTCGTTCCATACACTAAAAAATTATGGGTTCAATTCCCAGGTATGGCACATATCTAGGCTGTGGGTTTGATCCCCAGTTGAGGCAAGTACAGAAGGCAATTGATTGATGTTTCTCTCTCTAAAAATCAATAATCATATCCACAGGTGAGGATTAAAAATAAAAGAATACATCAGAAAATTCTTTTTGTATAAATTTCCACTGTTATTTCAATAAATCAGTTTTGTATACAAATAAATAAGTCCTTGTCCTGGCCAGTATGGCTCAATTGGTTGGGCATCTTCTTGTGCACTGAAACGTTGCCAGTTCGATTCTCGGTCAGGGCACATTCCTGGGTTGTGGGCTCCATCCCTGGTAGAGGGCGTGCAGGAGGCAGCCGATAGATATTTCACTCTTACATTGATATTTCTCTCTCTCCCTCCCTTTCCCTTTTTCACTCTCTAAAAATCAATTAAAGTATTTTTTTTGCAATTAAAAATAAATAAATAATTAAATAAATAAGTTTTTAAGGATGGCCTTATGCAAGGGTGTCATGCTAGGTGATATGGGGTTGGATACAAGATGGAAACTAGACTATGCATGCCTTCAAAGAAATTACAATCCTAAAGTTTGAATAATGGAAGCACTTCAATAACCTCAACGTCAGGCCAGATTAGCTACATGCATAAGAGAAATAGAGCTGTGAGGGTTAAAGGAAATTGGAGGAAACAGGACAAACTTGAAGGAGGAAATGGAACCTTATGACCAGAATTCTGAGAGGAAGAATAGGATGATGTGGGGGAGGGATGGATGGAAAAAATGTTCAAGGGAGCCCTGACTGGTTTGGCTCAGTGGATATGGCGTCGGTCTGTGGAATGAAGAATCCCAGGTTCGATTCCAGTCAAGGGCATGTACCTTGGTTGCGGGCACATCCCCAGTGGGGGGTGTGCAGGAGGCAGCTGATCGATGTTTCTCATAGATGTTTCTAACTCTCTATCCCTCTCCCTTCCTCTCTGTAAAAAATCAATAAAATATATTTTTTAAAAATGATCAAGGGAAAAATAGTATTGTCATGAAAAAAAGAATATGAGCATAGGCATGAGATAGAGAAGGATGGGGTACTTGGAGGACAATGAGTTGTAAGTAAAGGCTTTTAAGTTCATAAGATATATATGGGAAATATGGGAGCTAAGGTAGTTGAAAAGGGTAGTTGGGACTGAATCACAGAAGACCCTAACTGTTGAGTTTGAATGTGATTTGGTAAGCAATGAGGAGTCCCTAAGCATTTTAAGACATATAATTACAAATTTTATTTTCTTACCATATATAATTGTGTGCCATATAACACTGTTTTGGTAAACGAAGGACCACATATACAATGGAGGTAAACATACAGTCTAAGTGTGTGATAGGGTAAAACCTCCAGGTTTGTGTAGTATACTCTTATGATGTTCCCACAATGTGTCTAGTGACACATGTCTCAGAATGTATCCCTGTTAAGTGGCACATGGCTGTATTAACCATAGCCTATATATATATATATATATATATATATATATATATATATATATATATATTTAAAGCTCTCTATGCAGCATAGCTAACACACATAGGCCTAATTCTATATTCACACACAGGAACATAGGTCTATTGATGAGGTTGAAACAAATGGAGGAGAAAAGGCCAAGTAAACAAATGTGTGCCAGTGAGGAAAGGAGGCACAGGAATCAAATATTGTCACTTGTGTTATATTGACACTGTAGCTGAATAGTTCATTTTAACCAAGTGCTGGATTCCTTAAATAACAACTTGTTTTTGAGAGTCAGAGTAAGGTATTTGATGATGATGAACTATGGTCCAATTTTAGCTTTCAGCTATTCTTCATTTTTATATCTCACTCCAAATCCCAGCCATCTTCAGCATTTAAAGCCATTAAAATTCTTGGACCACAAGAAAAGACTGAAGTTAGGGGTTGAATAGTTCAAGAGCACACCCATGACATAAGTGTCTGTCACATACTATAATTCCCTGAGCTAAAGCAACTAACCAAATCTTAATTATGGAAAAGGAAATACTGTGCCATTAATTAAAGAAAAAATAAAAGTCCAATAGCATTTCAAAATTTCAAATAACATTATATATATGTGTGTGTGTGTGTGTGTGTGTGTGTGTGTGTGTATACACACACATACACACACTAGGGGCCCAGTGCACTGTGAAAAGGAACTGTAGGATGCGAGGCTGTAGTGGGCAAAGGGGCAAATATCAGCCCATCCTCTGCGCCCCTGCCCAGCCCTTCCTGCCCTGGCCCGCTGTCCCCTGTTTGACAGCAGCTCAGCTCCCGCCACCACTGCTGCTCCCATGTGCTGATGGCACCAGCCCCACTCGCACCCACTGACAGTGCAGAGCGATTTGGGCTGGTGCCAGCAGCGGGTAAGAGAGGTGGCTGCTGGCCGATTGCCCCTCAGGAATAGGGGGAGGTGGAGAAGCCCTGAGGGGCGATTGGGGCCAGCAGCTGCTGCTCGCATCCGCTGATGGCCCCGAGTGATCAGGGACGGCACCGGGCGCCGGAAGCAGATGCAAATGGTGGCTCCAGTGCTGGCTGTGGGTGCGAGTGGGGCCAGCACTGGCAATGGGTACAAGCGGCGGCTCTGGTGCCGGCAGTGAGTGCGAGCACCTGGTGGGACCACGGCATGTGGGAGCAAAGAATTTTCAGTAATCACCAGAGGCTCACTCCGATGACAGCAACCGGTGCCCCGCTGTGGTCTGGTGCCCCGCTCACCTGCTCTACCATCTCGCTACGTCCAATGCCTGCCATGTTCAGCACTCTGCCGACTGCTGCAGACGCCTGCCATGTTCTGTGCGCACCTCCTGGTGCGTCATAGCAACTGGTTGTTCAGTTGTTCCGTCATTTGGTCTATTTGCATATTAGGGTGTCATATATATAGATAGATAATGTAGAAAAAAACCGAATTACCTCATGATCAGGAGTGGCCTGTCTGGCTGCATCTAAAAAATATGAAAGAATAAGAAAACATTAAGTTAAAAAAGCAAAACAGAGCAATAATTAGACCCAAGGAAACAACTGTGCCAAACCACAAAAACTACTGGTATATGTAGGCTAGCACAACATATGATATTTTCTCTTATGGCTTTGTTAATCAGTTAGTCAGTATTTATTGGTTACAATTAGACACAAGGGAAACAGCAGACACAGTTCTTACCACTGAGGAGAATACAGTGAGAAGGTGAATAGGAAACATATGCCAAAGGTTGTTTGCACAACATTACAGTTTTGCAAGCAAAATGCCCAAAGTGTGAGAAGATGCAATGACTAAGGAATGACAGACTAGTTGTGGGTGAGGTGTCTTTGCAGCTTTTCCTGAAGAAAGGGAACTTAAAGCAATACTTGTAAGGGTGGGAGGAACAATTTTAATGTAGAATAAAAGATCCATGAAGACCAGGATCTTGTCTATCTTGTTCACTGGTGCTTTCTTAAAGGCTAGGTGAGAGGCTGGTGTGTAACAGGAAGTGCTCAATACATATTTTTTGAATGCACACATACGTGAATGCATGAATGAAAAGGATGATTATCTGAGACTGTGAGAAATGACATATAAAAGGTTTAGAGGTGTTAAGGCAAGGCAGTTATGTGGTTTAGTAGACAGACTTGTTTAGAGACAAAGAAATAACTATACTAGGAATTAGAAAAAAAGCACAGACATCTAAAAGGGGTTTTGGAGCACAAGCCAGACTGTTGATACTGATATGGAAACCAATTGGAATTTATAAATCAGAGCAATGTGATTTTAATAAAAGTCCAAGATGATGCTTATAAGTGAATGTAGTATAATAGAGGAATGATAAAAACATATATTTTATATTTATCACTCTAACAGTAGGCTTTGTGATGCTCATCACACATAGAAAACTACAAATATATTTGGTTCTGGTTCTGATACCTTGTCTTTGAGATTTGCCTTTCTGACGGTCCTGGGTTTTCCTACTGAAGACCTTGTAGGCCTCAGTCTTCTGATACTGCTCCAGTTCCTTCATGTAACGCTCCTTATCTCTATCTGCTTCATCAAGGTAGCGCTAGGAAAGAAATGTGGAATTATTTTAAAGAAACAGATCTTATTTAGATAAAATATCAATGAGCTATTTGAAGAACACAGAGGCCAATTAGAACATGGTAAGGAAAGTATATGGGGCATAAGCTTTAAAGGAGAATTAAAAATGTCATATAAAATAGTATAATCTCTAAATTGTAAAATAAATAGGTGATTCTGACTTTTTATAGACTATTTCCTTTGACTTAATGAAGACAAATTCTATTGAGGTAATTCTTATAACAAATTCACAAGATGATGATTATAGTTATTTTTCTAAGCCTATATATATAATTCTACATGGCCTCTAGAGTCCTCAAGATGACAGCACACCACATAGACACATTTAGTGCTCCCAGGAGAAAGGATGAAATATTACTTTGTTTCTCTAATTCCCCACCCCATTCTGAGGGAATGATCTCATACATCGATTGGCCTTTTAAAAGCCAGAAGAGTGGAACACTAAAGCCAGAAGACACAAAGAACATTAAAAAGATGACCTCATTCTACGGGCCTAAAATAGACTACTGTGAGAGAGCTTATATCTACATACTTTGTGCTATTCATTATTTAAAAAAAGTCCAGTGATCTAGCATAATTTTGTTTAATGCCTATTCTTTTCATTCATCAATTAGGTTTAAGAAATAAAGTGTAAAAATACTGCTTCTAAATAAACATAAACTATAGTCAGAAATTATGTTAAAGACCTTGTTGCACACAAAAGCCAAATGTAGGGAACACCCAAATGGCCAAATCTGGGACAATTTAGTACCAAAATACTTAAGTACAATAATAAATTATAAACCATTGAGAAAAAAATTCATATGGCTATAATAAATAAGTATCAACCACATAAATATACAAATAGGGAAGGAGGAGGGCTCTTGCTTAGAGTTGAATGTTGAGGGCCAACTGGTAAGTGGGAAATGAGTGCTAGGGTTGGAAAATGATCATTTTGCAACCACCATGGTAAAGATTAGATCAGGCAAATGTCATCAATGAATGCGAAATCTGTGGGGAAATTTTGATACCGATATTTGCATGTTCTCCATACACTACTTATTAATCATAAGGGAGAATTAAAAAAATCTATTGTAAATTAACATTACCAATTAGGAATAAAAGGACACTATGGTACCCTATGGACACAACACCACCACAATATTCTGACCAAGAATGCATAACCTCAAACTAATCAGGAGGAAACACCAGACAAATAAAAAATAAGAAATATTCTACTTAAACAAACAAAAAAACAGAAAGAAAAGAAAGAGAAAGAGGATTGTATTTTTTAAAGACATTAATGTCATCAAATACAAAGAAAGTTGTAGAAATGTTCCAGATTAAAGGAATCTAGAGATTTGACAAACATAAAACCTGACCTTAGACTGGAATCTGAACTAGAGGGGGAAATTTTTTTTTTAATCCTCACCCAAAGATATGTTTATTGATTTCAATGAGAGAGGAAAAGAGAGAGAGAAACTGATTGGTTGCCTCCTATATGGCCCCGACCAGGGAGCAAACCCACAACCTAGGTATGTGTCCTGACCATGAATCCAAACTTGCAACCTTTTAGTATGTGGGACAATGCTCCAACCAACTGAGCCACCTGGTCAGGGCAGGGAGAGGGAAGTTTTTATAAAGGAATGATGTAATATGAACTGATTAAATTGGAATATGGATGGCAGGTTAGACAAAACTTTTGTGTTAATATAAAATTATAAAGTTGATAATTATAAAAGAACTAGAAGCCCCATGCACAAAAATTTGTGCACTGGTGGTTGGGGGGGTGCCGCTCAGCCCAACCTGTGCCCTCTCACAGTCTGGGACCCCTCGGGAGATAACCATCTGCTGGCTTAGGCCTGCTCCCCTGGTGGCAGATGGCACGTCCAATCCCGCGGTGTCTGCCCTGTCTCCCCTGGTCGCAGATGGCAGGCCCGGTTCCTGCGCTGGGGCGGGCAGCACCTCGGGATCGCGCTGAGGTCCCTGTGGATGTTCAGGCTTCAAAAGTGTAGGTTTTCTTTCTCGGTTTTGTTTTTACTTCTTGAAATTGAAATGTGTTAAAAAAATTTTTTTTTTCTGCACCTTTTCGGGTCCCAGGGACCCCGCCATGCACCAGCTGTCCTTTCCCAGCTCGGTCCTCCTCCGAGCTTTTCACAGAGGGGCAACCTTTTAGGTTGTGGGGTGCGTTGAGAGAAGCCCAGCTTTCTGAAAGCGAGTGTTTGATTTGGGGATTTGTGATCTGGCTGAGGAGCCCCCAGGGCCCACTCAGAACAGTGGGGGCAGCCACAATGAGTGACCAAAGAAACCAGAGAAAAGTTAGGAGACAATAAACGGTTCGATTTCTAATTCCGCACGTTGCAGGAGCCGAGGTGTGCCCGGGCTTTTCCAGGGAGAGAGTGAGCGAGTGAGTGAGTGTCCACTGCCCCTCACACAGCCGGCCACTTGGAGTATGACTTTCGCCAGCAAGGGCATGGACGCAGCCGCCTGGGCCTTGTTCCCGCCTTTGCAGATGCATGTGTGTGTGTGTGGAGTGGGGAGAAGCAATTAGGACCAGGAGGCGTGTGCGTGCTCTGGGGGTCATGAGGTCAGCGAGGCCTAGGTGCACCGACACGCAGGGGCCGCCGCCCAGCTGTTGGGGCCAGCAGGGAGCCGCAGTGGCCACCTGCCCCCGGGGTAGCTGGGAGCCAGCGCTGCTCCGCGGCACTCTGCTTTCCCAACCCCAGGAGGCCTGTTTGTCAAACTTGGCCGCCTTGGCAGGAGGTGCCTGCATGTTCTCACCGGGACAATTGTTTCCTTTGCAGTCTTTGGATCTGGGCTCAGGAACCTTAGCCTCACAGAATGGTGGGGAGGGGGTGGGGCAGGTGGTGTGTGTGTGCAAAGAAAAGGGGTCTGGGACCCAACAGTGTCTGCGTTTTACCTGTGAATCCCACCGGGCCTCCCACCTTCCAGGGAAGGAGAGAGGAGGCCACTGGTGCTCCCCATGCATTTGGGGTGTGGTGCCCAGTTACTTGCCTCTCAGTGCGAGCAGGACTCCGGCCTGGCTTGGGTTCAGTTACCACATGTCTCCAGAGGGCCCCTTGGACACCGTCTTGGCGCAGAGAGTGAAGGTGCCTTCCTGGGCCTGACAAACCCACCCGAACCTGGCCTCCCCACCTTTGTGCGAAACTTCACAGGTTGGGGTGGCCCCTGCTTGCCGGGCCCATGGGCAGCATAACCCCCGTGATGAAAGGCAAAGCCCAGGAGCACTTGGGGCCCACGTCACTGACCTAGGGCGGGCAGGGTTTGCCAGTGTGTGGCTGTTCCACCCTCGCCTGCAATTCACTGCACTTTCCAGGTGCCTCCTCCTGGGATTTCCCTCTTCTCAGGCTCTCCTGGCCCCTAAGGCCTCCTTCTCTCCAGGGCCCGCGGTCCGTCTGGCTAAGGGTTTGGGGTTCTTCCTCTGGCCTCCCCTGTGCTTGGCGCCGACCCTGACCCCAGGCGAGAGTCAGGCTGGAGGCCAGTAGCCGCACGGTATGAGCGTGACCCCCGGGCATGGAGGACGTGGGGGCAGGCTGCACCTGCAGCTCTGCACTGGCCAGGAGAGCACGAACCTCCGGCCTTTGGCACATTGGCTTGCATTCAGTGGCCTGGCTGCGCAGCCTGGGCCTGAAGCCACCAGCCCTTGGAGGGCCCCACGCCTGTCTGCACCCAAGCAGCCCCAGCCCGGGCTTCTCTTCACCGGAAATGCACTTTATTACACTTTGGAAGGCTGGTAGGATGCTCGCAGACTCCTCAGGCTCTACTGTGAGTAGGAAGGGGTGCCCAGGAGTGGGCCCTGTGTCTCCGCTGGGCGGGAGGGCTCGGGTGAGGGGATGGACACCGCTTGCCTTCGCCCCAGCCCCTGCCCACCCCCAGATCACACACGGGAGTGGGCCCTGTGTCTCCGGTGTACAGCAAGGGCTTGGGCAAGGTGATCGGTACTGCTTGCCTTCACCCCAGCCCCTGCCCACCCCCAAGATCGCACACGGGAGTGGGCCCCATGTCTCTGGTGGGCGGCAAGGGCTTGCCTTGGGCGAGGTGCTCGGCAGCGCTTGCCTTGCCCCAGCCCCCTCCTGCCCCCTGATTGCACACGGGAGTGGGCCCTGTGTCTCCGGTGGGTGGCGAGGGCTCCGGTGAGGTGATTGGCACCGCTTCCCTTCGCCCCAGCCCCCGCCTGCCCCCAGATTGCATATGGGAGTGGGCCCTGTGTCTCCCTTGGCTGTGAGGGCTCCGGCGATTGCTTTGCCTGAGCCCCCGCCCCAAGGTCACACATGGGGGCCTGGATGGCGGCTTGCGCTGTCCTACCCTGCCTGCAGTATGCAAATTAGCCGCCATCTTTGTTGGCGGTTAACCGCCATCTTGGCTGGTGATTAATTTGCATATCTTGCTGATTAGCCAATGGGAAGGGTAGCGGACGTACGGCTAATTACCATGTTTCTCTTTTATTAGATAGGATATGTCTATCTTAGGAAATACACATTAAAATATCTAGGGCCATGATGTATGTAACTTCTTCTTAAATGATTCTGAAAACAATAGTCTGCATGTGTGTAATGTATGTGAGTGTGTGAGGGTGTGAGGGAGCTTGTGCTGGAGAGAGTATGACCACATATACAAACAGAGAAATGGGATTAAATGTATTAACAATAGATTAATCTGGGTGAAGAGTATTTGGGTGTTCTTTGTACTATTCTATGTTTATAAGTTTTTTTAGACTTGAAAATATTTTAAAAAAGAAAGTAAAAAAACCAAAAACAAAACAAGTACACAAACCCTTGTCCTACTTACATAATAGTGGTTAGTTGTGGACATAACTACTGTTACTTTTGCTTTATTCTTTATACATTCTGTATTGTCTGAAAACATTTTAAACCACGAGCATGCATTAACTTTGAAATAAAAAAATTAAAAAAAAGAGTAACCTATATGTACAACTCACTATCCCTTTATACATTAGAGCTGAAA